TATGTTATTATCTCTATAAGTTGTTTTGTAAATTTTGTTACGGTAAGTAGACGGTAAATGATTTTATTTATGATAAACGATTTTGCTAAATTAAGAGTTCCATTGTTGTTTTTATTATTTTTAGCAAATGATTTTATTTATGATAAACGATTTTGCTAAATTAAGAGTTCCATTGTTGTTTTTATTATTTTTAGCAACCTTTATTTCTGTATTGGTGAATAGTGTGATATTCTTAATGGGCTAGTGTAGCTCATTTCTTTATTAATCATTTCAGATAAAGATGATCAAAATCTAGAGATGGTTGCAAGTAGGATGCCAATTTTATTTATTTTTTAGTTATTTTTTTAATTTATCGTATTTCTCTCAAAATGGTCATTCTCGTATCATTACTTAATACTTTAAGTTATTATGTAAGAAATATAAACTCTAACTATTTATTTTACTTTTACACTTAATTTATAATTTATTTCTTTTAAAATTTATGAGATTGTTATATTTTTATTTTAAATAATAATAATAATAATAATAATAGATAATACCTATCTACAGGCTATATTTAACATCTATCCTCATGTACATGATTTTTTTGTTTCAAGTCCAAAATAGAGTAATTATACAATTCATCAACGCGCCTTACCAGCTTTCCAAGATTATGGTGACAACAGTTAGGCCATACAATTTTACTGGTTCATTTTAAATTTTTCTAAGAAGAAAATCTGGCCTGAACCTGTCTTTATTATTGAATCATTTCTGTCAACGCCCATGGACAACCCCTTGAAACTCCCAAAGCAGGAAAAAGGGCAAAAACAATATAAATAACAAACAAACAGAAGAAAAATGGGATACACATAGGTAAAGTTTCTTATGTTTGTGTGTGTATATATATATATATATATATAAAGAAAGAGTTCTATGGTTTATTATCACGAAGAGGTTTTGATAAAGGAGCAACATATCTAGAAGAGAAGCCATAACGCAAAGAACCTGCAACATCATCATCCCAACATCCATCATCAAAGTTCTGAGCATAGCTTAAAGGATCATACCTAAAACCACCTCTTCCTGCTTTTTTCTCCTTCGCCCCGAAAGCCTTCGCCAAGTAATTACTACACCCTACAGTGCTACTCTTTTCTCTTCTTCTTCCGCTCCTCTCCACTCTTCTTCTCACCCATGGAAGCTTCAACTTGAGCCGACCCCAGCAAGAAAGCACCGACTCTCCATCTTCATGCGGGCACGAGCTTGATCTCTCCATGACCGAAGTTAAACTTTTCCACAAAGAAGCTTTGCTAACGGAAGACGAAGAGATTATTCCTTCTTCTACTTGTGCAAGAGGCAGTGTGGGGTCTGAGATTTTCTGCTTTCTTTTTTGTCTGAAGGATTTTGAGTGTGTGGCAGAGGAGTGGTATGAGCTCATATGGTACCAAGGCGTTTTTTGTTTGTTAGGAAAGAAACGAATGGGACGAGGGATAAATTAAAATAAAACAAAAAAAAAAAAAAAAGAAAAAGAAAAAGAAGCAATCAGAGGAGCAGTAGAAGAAGGAATAATATGTCCTTTTATGTCATTTCAGGTTAGCGTGATTGTGTAATAACGATATGTAGATGTATATATTTAACTAAATCAATCCAGTTTTAAAAATTGCTCAAATAAATTACCAAAAGTATGAAATTAAAATATTAGTAATTGTTGGAACATAAAACTACCTTCTGAAACAATTTAAAACGTATTGTAAATAAGTGATTTATGACATCACAATAGTTAAATTTAAAAAAAAAATAAAAAAATACGACTATATATGCAGAACTAACGGTTATTATTTGAAATGAAAAACTTTTTACTAAACAAAATTTCAAGAGTTCTCAACAAAAAATTTAAGAGAACAATATTTATAATTAGGAAATATTCTTTTGTTTTAAAAGAAAAAGACGTGAACCAATGTTTATAATTGTGTTGCCATAATTAGCATTTTACTGATTTTTTTTATTATT